ACAATCCTCCTTCTTTCCCTTCTAAGAACTGCTAGTGATTTCCCAGATGGAATCTTACAGGTCTTCTGGGATGGTCTGGAAGGATGAAGTGGGAGACACAACCTAGAAAGAAAAGCCAAGTATCTGCAATGAAGATGAACTTTTATGAAATCACCTAAGAAAAAACAAACAAATGGCATACTTCCTGGGTGAACACAACCACAACTTGGAATTCACAAATGCAAATATAACCTCATCGTATATACCCTCATATTAATAAAAAAAAATGTAGTAATGGTGTCAGAGAAAATACATGAATTCTGTTGTTAGGTGTCTATTTTAATAAGGCTCCACCACTTAGAAGTTGTGCGATCCTGGGCAAGACATATAAGCTATTTTTTAGCCTCTTTTTTCTTATCTGGAATATGGCGAATTAACCACAGTCCTCACTTGTTCTTGTAAGAATTTTATACATGTGTGCTAACAGAGCACCTTCCAGGATACCTGTGCATATGAACATGGATATAAAAATGTTCATTGCAGGGTGTTTGTAATGCTGAAAAACCAGAAATACCTAAGATTTCTCAATAGGGAAATAATATAAATTATATAACATACACTGTAGATGAATGTTCAAAATTAAACAGAGACCTATGTATTGACATGGAAAGATGTTTTATGTATATTGTTAGGTAAATAGGCAGGTGGCATAATACTACAAGATCCCAAAGGGATAGATGGCATAGATAGAGAAATAAGCATCAGTTTCAGAGAATTCTTAGGAAGTATGATCTCATTTCTGTGTGTCTTATAAATAGGTATATATAAATGTGTAGGGAAATATCTAGACAAATTATGGTCTGTTAAAAATCAAGGCAACCTCTGAGAAAGAGATGATGGTAGACCAGTCTTATCCAGTTTCTCTAGTAACTACAACTTTCACCCATAGAAAAGGCCCATCGGACAATCCCCCAGCTCTTAAAGACTATGTAGGCAGGTGTCAGAATAGCCCCGAGGAAGAAATCAGAGAAAAGAAAAAACTTTTTTTTTTTTTTTGTTGAGACCGAGCCTCAAGCTGTCCCCCTGGGTAGAGTGCCATGGCATCATGCTCACAGCAACCTCCAACTCCTGGGCTCAAGCGAGTCTCCTGTCTCAGCCTCCCAAGTAGCTGGG